CTGGAGCCAACATCTCCTTCCACACCCCCCAAACTGAGCCACCCAGACCCAACAGCTCCTTCCATGTCCAAACTGAGCCACCCAGAGCCAACCTCACCTTCCATGGCCAAACTGAGCCTCCCAGACCCAACAGCTCCTTCCACACCCCCCAAACTGAGCCACCCAGACCCGACCTCACCTTCCAAATCCAGACTGAGTCACCCAGAAGAAATTCTTTCTTTTGCATTTGTTCCTTGTTTACCTTCCTATATCTAACAAATGTTTATCTGATAGTCTTTTTTGACAGGTTAAATGTTTTTAATGTTAGTGCTAAATTTGAGAAGATGGTCATTGCACATTATTTGAAGTTTTGTGCATTTTACTGCATGTCCCCTGTTTGACATCTCGTGTTCAAGGAGTAATTAGTCAGAGTTTCTCCCAAACCTCATTTTTCAATTTAAAAACAAAAAAAAGAGGAATTTGTCACCACAAATGCTAAGTTATGGTGGGTTTGCTCCAGGGCAGCCAATCCTAAGGTATGTTTATAAAGGAACACCAATTCTAAAGCAACACGTATGTTACACCGAGGAGTATAAATGTCAGAGATCTGTTGCAACAAACACCCTGTGCTGTTCTGTCCCTCTCCTGGTCTTGCTGCTTGGAACTAGACTGTGTATTTTTTATGACTGACCCCGGGGGGAGCAGCCCTGCCCTTCCCAGGGCTTACCTTCGGCAGGATTCATCACGGCGTCGTGGAGCAGCGTGGCCACGCTCCCGGCTATCCCTGCAGGGCAAGAGCAGCCTTGAGAAAGGCAAACAGGAGCCAGGGCTTGCCTGGGCACTGCCACCCGTGGAGGCAGCTGGGGGAGCACCCAGGGGACACTGCAGTGACTCCCAGGGCAGGAAAAGCCACCCAGAGCAGCCCCACGGACACCCAAGATCCACTCACAGCCACCATTCCCAACGACTCCCAGGGTTTTGTCCACACCACAACCCCCCCCCCACCCAAATGACTGAGACATGAGCAATGTTTGCAACCACCTCAGCACATCCATAATTAGGTGTTTTCAGCCCTTTACTCAGCCCTTTACTTTTCAAACACTAATTGCCCACATTCTGCCAAGTCCAACCAGCCATGAACGATCCCCGCAGTTGGCTCCAGGAAGGGCCTCTCTCCAGCCACACCTTCCCCTTTGATCTGGGTTCCCACCTCGAATTCTCTCTTGCCCAAATGACTTTTGGTCATTTCTCATTAACCCAGAGCTCCAGTTTTCCTGCTGGTACCAAAAAGCCTGTAGCTACTTGAAAGGCAAACATGGGAAAGGTACTCCTGGCAAAAAGCAGCAAGAAGAAAGATGTTTTTTACTCCCTGAACTGAGGGAAGTGAGTCCATGGCAGATTCCTGCTCTCACACCACGTCAGGTCTCCTGCACAAACCTTTTTCTAACACCCTGGCTGTTCATTTAAAGGGTTTCTGCTGTTACAGAGGTATTTCTGGGCTGAAAAGCAAAATATTCCTGATAAAAGCCAAATTGAGCACACAGAGGATGGAGGAGGGCACTTCATGTTGGAGCTCCCAGGGACAGCTGGAACAACCTGAACTCCAAACCTCCCAAAGGTCAGAGTGATGCCTTCAACACAAGGTTATACCTTTAGGGGACACCTTCAAAGGCTGGACTTGATGCTCCTGAAGGCCTTTTCCAACTTTAATGGTTCTGTGATAACACAGAAACAGCACAACTGCACCTGAACACCTCTTGTCCACTGCACTGAGGACTCGTGCTGGGATATTTGGAGGTTAAAGAGCAGTGTAGGAACCTAAACCAGACTGAATTTGGAGGGCAAACACGAGTGCCACGAGGTCAGGAAGGGCTTCTCTACTCCACTGCTGACTCCCAGCCCAGCCTCCTCTACCCTCTTGGAAGAGAGACCTGCCAAGCACTGCCCAGTGCCAGGACAGCCCAGGGGTGTCAGAGGAACAAGGTGACCACCAAGAAGGGCTCAACCCAGGGGCAGGTGCCACCTCTTTGCCTCATGCCTCCTCCCAGGGGGATTATTTGGCTGCCTGGAGCAGACATTCCAGGAGCAGAGCACAGGGAAGGCGGGAAGCAAGCGATAAAACCACAAGTGGGGTAGGGGGGTGTTTTTTTTGGGGTGACAAACCCCCCAAAATACCATTGGCCAGGTGGCTGTTTCCTCCCTGCTGGAGAGTGTCACTGAGGGACTTTTTCATTTTCTCATAGCAGGCAAAGTACATGGCGTGGGCAGGGCCAGCCCCCAGCATGGTGACATTAATCCCACGTAAAGGCCTCCAGAGCCCCTCAGTGAGGACAATCTTCTTCAGAGCTTCGTACACGCTCCTGTACTGGGCTTTGGGGTCCGGCTGCAAGCTCTGCATCCTTGTCTGCAACAAAGCACACGGAGGGAGAGGCCTTGGTTACCCAGCTTTTCACTCAACAAGCACAGAATCCACGAGTTCATAGAATCCCAGAATCAGCTGGGTTGGAAGGGACCTCTGAGATCATCAAGTCCAACCCTTGAGCCAACCCCGCCGTGGTTCCCAGCCCATGGCACTGATGCCACATCCAGGCTCACCCTAAAAACCTCCAGGGATGGAGAATCCACCTCTTCCCTGGGCAGCCCATTCCAATGGCTGAGCACCCTCTCTGCAAAGAAATTCTTCCTAATCTCCAACCTAAACCTCCCCTGGCACAGCTGAAGCCCGAGCCCTCTTGTCTTGCTGATGGTTGCCTGGGAAAAGAGCCCAAGCCCCAGCTGGCTCCCCCCTCCTGTCAGGGAGTTGCAGAGAGTGAGGAGGTCTCCCCTGAGCCTCCTCTTCTCCAGGCTGAACAGCCCCAGCTCCCTCAGCCTCTCCTCACAGCACTTGTGCTCCAGTCCCTTCCCCAGCCTTGTTGCTCTTCTCTGGACCTGCTCCAGCACCTCAATATCCTTCCTGAAAGACTTCCAAGAGCTTTAGAGGGGTGGGTTCAGTCCCCACACCGAGGCCAGATCGAATCCATTGCAACACCAGAGGAGGGAAGTGTAACCTCTGCTCTTGTTTATCCATGGAAAGTCCAAGGAATTAAGCTGGTGTGTGGTTGTTCCAAGTGAAGAAATACAGTTAGGTCTGTAATTGCCTCTTGCTTAACAACACCCCTGACTCTGCCCCAGCTTGTCTGCCCTGCAGTTGCTCAGCAGCTTGTGACGCTCCGTTGGGCAACAGGGTTCCTAGAAGGGCGACCTGAGGGAGCTGGGAAGGCCCAGGAACCACCCCCAGGAGGAGGGAAGGCAGAGCCAGAGGGTGACACTGTCCCCCAGGAGTCTGGAGGGCCCTTCACCCTGTTTGCCCCCCCAGCTCCTGGTGCTCTGCACCCACCAAGTGCCGCTGCCCGTCGGTCTTCAGTGGGTTTTTCTCCCAGGGATTTTTAGGCCAGCTGAGCTCCTGGCACCCAAACCCACTGCCATTGCTTCCTTATCCAGTTTTCCCACGGGGAAAATGCCTTTCAGCTCATTCCAGGGCTCTGCAGACTGATGCCATCACACCCCAGGGCTCTGAGCCCGGGAGGTGACAATGACTTTGCAGGGCACAGACCCCAGTGAACTCCCTCCCACCAGGGATGGGAGAGACACTGGTGAAGACTGAACTTCCACAGTCATCCCAGCAAATCCTGACATCGGGATGCCCCTAAATCCTTCCCACCTGCACCACTGGAAGGGGCTGCCCGGGGAAGAGGTGGAGTCTCCATCCCTGGAGGTGCCCAAGGAAGGACTGGACATGGCACAGGTTGGACTGGGTGCTCTGGGAGGGCTCTTGTGGCTGATCCACCCCCATCCCACCGAAACCAGATGAAGGGATACACAGCCCTTGGTGCAGCCTCACACCTGGAAACACAAACACTGGGCTCCTGGGAAAGCCACAGCCCTGGGAAACAGGTGCTGAGCAACCTGCAACCCCCTGCATCGGATGCTTTTCCAAGGGGAAGCTCCAGAACTGCAGCAGAAGGTGACAGGGAGGATCCCTTCCTTGGGGGACACATCCCACCAAGCTCATCAAGGCCCTCTGGTAATTAGCTGCAGCTCAGCTTCCAAGGCAGAAGTCAATAAAAGCATTTTCAGGTTTGAAGTCTCGATTCTCTAAAACCACCCAAGGCACCAGAAACCACAAAACACTTTCACACCCACCCTGGGTTAGACCAAGGAAGGGATCAGAGCCAAGTTCAGGACTTTAACCCGGGATAATTAACCCAAGGTGGGTTTACACGAGGCCAAGCCAAGCAAATCACTGGATCTGCAGCAAATACTCTGCAAAAAAAAAAAATCCCCTAGGAATTCTCTGCAAAGGGGCCTTGGCTCAGCAGCCAGTGGAATTCCAAACTCCAGCAGCAGCTGGCACTGCCAAAAGGCATCACCCCACACCAGGGAATTTGGCAGCCTCCAGCAAAGCTTCCTGTTCCACAGCCCTCCATGCCCTGGAATGGGGCTGAAAATAAACCCAAAGCCCCCCAAAAATCCTCCTGGGAAGGCAGCAAGGACCTGAATTAGCTGGGAATTTAAAACCAGGTTTTAAACCTGTCACAGAGTAACCCCCTCCTGGGTTCCTGCACCTTCCCAGGCCACGGATGGTCCTCGGGAAGGGCTGGATTTTTGTGATGCCCCGGAGAAAACGCTGCTGTCAGCGTGACTCAGCAGGAGCCACCTCTGCCAAGCTGCTTCCACCTGGGGTTTGGGCTCCTGTTTTCATTTCTCTGCCAGTTTGAACTTGAAGGCATCGCCCTGACCCAGCAGATCCCAGTCTCAGCCCAGTCTGTCACTGGGAAGCAGCAAACACCATTTATATTTGGATGTTGGTGGGAACTAACCCCAAGTATTTCCACCCTCACCAAGGGCCCAGTTTCTCCCACTTCACCCCAGGAGCTCCCATGACAGCACAGGACCCTCCTGAACCTCCTAAAACCCCACAGAGCCACAGGAAAATCAATTTACAGCCCCCTGTGCCCCAGCCTGGTCGGGAGCAGGGCAGGTTTTCATGGAGCAGGGATGTAACGTGGGGAGGCTTCTCTCACATCTGAAGGGATAAACACCAATTTAATTTTTTGGGTGATCTCAGCCACCCTAAAGGGGTTTTCAAAACTCACACCACAGCCCAGAGTAAAGCACACAGGCTGCAGTTTGAATCACCACCAGCACAGCCTGCTCTGCAGCTGGGCCTGTGGAGAAACCAGGACAGACAGCCCAAGGGATAACAAAAACCAGGACTAACAGCCCAAGGGATAACCAAAATCAGGACAGACAGCCCAAGGAATAACCAAAACCAGGACAGACAGGCCAAGGAATAACCAAAATCAGGATAGACAGCCCAAAGAATAACCAAAACCAGGACAGACAGCCCAAGGGATAACCAAAATCAGGACAGACAGCCCAAGGAATAACCAAAATCAGGATTCAACAGGATGAACAGCCCAAGTACCTAAAATCAGGATTTAATAAGCAAACAGTCCAAGGAGTAGCCAAAACCAGGATTCAACAGGATGAACAGCGTAAGGAATAACCAAAAGCAGGACAAACAGCCCAAGGAATAACCAAAAGCAGGATTTAATAGGCAAGCAGCCCAAAGAGTAGCCAAAACCAGGATTAAACAGGATGAATAGCCCAAGGAGCAAGCAAAACCAGGAGTAAGAGCCCAAGGAATAACCAAAACCAGGACTAAGAGCCCAAGGAATAACCAAAACCAGGATTCAACAGGACAGACAGCCCAAGGAGTAACTAAACTCAGAATTTAACAGGCAGAGAGCCTAAAGAGTAGCCAAAACCAGGATTCAACAGGACAGGCAGCCCAAAGAATAACCAAAAAGCAGGATTTAATAAGCAAGCAGCCCAAAGAGTAGCCAAAAAACCCCCAAATTAAATAGGACAAACAGCCCAGAGGCTGCAGTTTCTCAGGTGTGAAGCTGGAGATGTGCCCTGAGCAGGGCAGCCCTCACCCCTCCCCAGCTCCTCCTGTCACCTATCTGCAGCCAACAAGCTGCTCTGGGAGCCTCACCCCCTGATAAGCAGCCAAGAAATACTTCTCCACCTACTTCAATTAATCCCTGTTGCATAAGGCAGGAGCTCACAGGCCCTGCTAGTCCTGGTTTCAAAGCTTGGGCATAAAAAAAAAAAACCTCTGTCACCCAAAGTGCCAGGTTGGGGCTATTTTGGTAATTCCTCAAGCAGCTCCATAATTCCTCAAGTAGCTCCACAGCCCCCTCAAACAGGTGACCTGCTGCTTGTGGACAAGCTCTGCTCCCTGGATGACCTTTTTGGGAATATCCAGGGTGGTTTTCTCCCCACATTTGTTTCCCCACCACGAGTCAGGGCTGGATTTTGCAGCTCCTGCCCAAGGGATCCACTGCTTGGATGTGGCACTGGACAAACACACCCAGACTTCACTTGGCTTTGTTTTTCTTTCTTTTTTTCCTCCTCCTGAACACAACATGCTTTTTCTCTCCCCCCAAGTTCACGTGACACAACCAGCTCAGAGAACACAATATGCCTTCACCAGGAAATCAGCAGTGTTTCTGCAGCAGATCCTGCCAGCTGGAGAAGGCACAAGCTCTGAATTCCCATTTTCAGGGGGTTTATCAGCTGGAACAGCTCCCAGGTGAGCTTGTGGGACCCAGTTGTGCCTGGAAACACCCGTGGCAGGGTCAGTCAAACAGCTCAGCTGAGACTTTCCAGCATCTCTGAGCTGGAACAAGAGGAGCTGCTCCTCCTGGAGCTGCAGAACCTGCCACCACCAAAAGCCTAAATAACCACAGAGCCTGAATAAACCACAGTCACACAGCTCCCAGGTCACCTGGTGGGTTCTCAGGACCTCAGGGACAGGCAGGGAAGCTCCAAAGTCTGACTGAACCACTGAAATCCTCATCCCATCCCTCCCACCAAGCCCTGAACTCGTCCTCCTTCCCCTCTCTGGCATCACAAGGGTAAAGGGAGATGTTTCTCCCACCTTCACCCCTGTGTGACAGCACAGAACCTCCTGTGACTGTCAGGACCACGCAAAACCACAGGAAAAATCAGCTTGCAGACCTCCTGTGGCCCAGCTGGGTCAGGAGCAGGTCAGGTTCTCCTGGAGAAGGAGCTTTTGTCTCCAGTGCCACTGCAAGAAGGGAGATTCCAGCCCTGCAACACCTCCAGCTTCTCCCTGAGCTCTCTCCCATCACCAATTAGTCCCCAGGGGAGGAAAACTTCCTTCACATCCTCCAGGGATGTTTTCACAGCCTGTGGGAAATCAGCTCCAGCAGAGAAATCACCCAGTGGCTTCGGGGGGAGGCTCCAGGGGAATCCTCCACAACCTCCCTTCGGGAGTCCTCGACACGCTGAGCTCCCTCCAATGAACCCGGAGATGGATCAGCCTTCCCAGGCCAGCTGTCCAAGCAAAACAAGCTCCAGCACTGTGAGAAACACCACCAGCACCCAGCTAAAATCCCAAATCCAGGCCAGGGTGGCAACACCAGCAGTGTTCAGGGGGAAAGACAGAGGATTACAGGGGTGGGTGAGGCTGGAGCTCCAGGGGGTAAAAAAAATACCATTTATCATTCAATGTTTTAGCTAATGATGGAAAACAGGGTAAATTTACATGGGATGCTGGGGAGGAATTCCTCCCTGTGAGGGTGGGCAGGGGCTGGGATGGAATTCCCAGAGAATCTGTCTGGGAAGTGTCCAAGGCCACCTGGGACAGTGGAAGGTGTCCCTGCCCATGGCAGGGCGTGGAATTGGGATGGTTTAAGGTCCCTTCCCGCCCAAACCGCTCCGGGATTCCACGACCTCGGAAGTTGTGCAAGTGTCTGAAGCAACAATCCCCCAAATTCCAGCGTTTCCAGTTTCTCTTTCAGAGGAAATGACTCGCTGGAACCAAAACATTCCCTTCCCAGCAGGATCTCCCCAGGTGCCTGAAACGGCTCTTTCTGCAACATCCAACAACCCCCCAACCTCCTCCAGCCCCTGCTCTGCCATTCCCAAGCCCAGGAACTGCTTTCCACGAGGAAGGAGCTTTCCTGGAGGGTGGCACAGCTCTCCTGGGCAAGTGGAGGAGCTGCTTTTACAACCTGAGCTGGTCGCTCCCATCACAAGCAGAAAAACCCTTTTGGGGTCACAAAAAACAAAACAAAACAAAGCCCTTTTTCAGGGTCAGATCTCCCCTTTTCCCACAGCAGTGGGAGCAGGACCTGAGCCTGGAGCTCGGGATTTCAGTGCCTCACACACATGGAGCGGCCTTGGCCGGGCTCCACGGGAGTTTTCCCGCAGCCCAGAGCATTTTATCTGCTCCCAAACACTCCAAGGCACTTTGCTGAGCTGGATTATTGCCAGCCCGGGGCACAGCCAGGGAATTCACAGCCCGGTGCAATCATCAGGGCTTGGCTTTTCCTCCAAAGCACCTCCTGCTTCGGGAAACGGGGACAACCACTTTCGTTTTCTCTCTCCCTTTTCCCTCCCGCAGAGGAAATGCCCTCGAGCAGCCCCACAACTCCTCGAGCAGCCCCACAGCTCCTCGAGCAGCCCCACAGCTCCTCGAGCAGCCCCACAATTCCTCAAACAGCCCCACAGCTCCTCAAGCAGCCCCACAGCTCCTCAAGCAGCCCCACAGCTCCTCAAGCAGCCCCACAGCTCCTCAAGCAGCCCCACAACTCCTCAAACAGCTCCACAACTCGGGAGGGATGGGGCAGAAAACCCCAGGCTGGTTTGTGTGAAGAGCTGGTGCCACACTCAGGTGTGTCCCCCCCCCATCACATCCCAAGGGGAACAACCCAAATTTACCATCCAGGTCCAGCAGGGACAGACCCAGAGGGATAACACAGCAAAAAAAACCAGGGAATATTTTTCTTTGAGTGCTTATCCCTGTACACTGGTAACACCTGCAGCACCCCAAAGCCAAGGCAATTCCTCTCCTCTTTCTACTCTTTCAGGGAGCTCTGCATGGAAAAGAGGAGGATTTAGAGCATCTTTCCTGCTGAACACAGAGGATCCATCCACACCAGCAATACAGCACACAGGGGGGTTGGGTTTTCCCAGTTTTCCCTCTTTTTTTAAGGGCCCAGAGCAGCAAAGTGGCAGGGCAGAGGGAGGGAATCCCATTCCTGCTGCTTCCTCCCACGCTGGGAAGCCTTCCCTTGCAGACTCATCCACACCAAAACCCACCCAGCAGCCCCTTTACAACCCTGTTGGGGTCACAACAAAGCCACCTCTGCTGTGACACTAAATGGGGTTTGTGCCACCCCACAGCCACCCTGGTGTGGTCACACCACCCTGTCCCACCAGCTGGGCTGGAATTCCAACACTGTGGGAGGGAAAAGCTGCCCAGGGGGCTCCTGACCCAGGCCAAGAGGGAACTGGTGGCATCTCCCACGCCAGGGAGCAGCACTGGGGCTTCACCTTTGCACCCCTGGGTGTGCAAAGCTCAGGATGGGTCCAGGGGGAGGGCACAGCTCCAGTTCCACAGGACATTTGGAGGGCACAGCTCCAGTTCCACGGGACATTTGGGGGGCACAGCTCCAGTTCCATGGGACATTTGGAGGGCACAGCTCCAGTTCCACGGGACATTTTGGGGGGCACAGCTCCAGTTCCACGGGACATTTTGGGGTGACACCTCAGGGACCTATTCCCTGCACACCCCAGCACCTCGTGCCCGCTCCCACAGCCTGGTGCAACTCTGCTCCCTGCCAGGGGCATTCCCTGCCCTGGGGGGGCCCTGTGCACCCCAACATTCCCCTGCACACCCTCCCCACGTGCACCCCCACATCCCTGGCACAAGTTCCCCCTCTCAGACCCCAACACCCTTCACATGCTCCCCTGCTGCTTGCACCCTAAAGCTCCTTGGACACTCCTGCCTTCCCTGCACCCCAACATTCCCTGCACACTTTCCATATTTACACCCCATGTACCTCGACCCCCCTTACACACTGAGCCCCTCCCTGCACCCCAACACCCCTCACACCCCCAATAACCCCCTGCACCCTTTCCCCTCCCCACATCCCATCACCTGTCAGACACTGTCCCCTCCCTGCACCCCAACACTCCCCGCACACTTTCCCTACTTGGCACCCCAACATCTCTTACACCCTGCACCCCAACACTCCTTATACACTGCACCCCAACACCCCTTACACCCTGCACCCCAACACCCATCCCACACTGCCCACCCTGCACCCCAACACCCCTTATACCCAGCACCCCAACACCC